GCCAGCTTCCTGCAAGATGTAAAAGGCAGCTGTTGTTGTTCAGCAAAAGAAAAGTGCAGATTAGACAGTCTAAACCCATGCTCGTGAACAGAGCAGCCCCATCAGTCCCTTGCTGCTCTCCTTGCTAGTACTACTAGGGATTTTTTCTTTGCATTTCTTGGGTTGAAACAAACCTGATACAAAGAATGACTGTTTAACTCCAGGTTAATTCGAGCCTCTTTGAAGATACTTCGCAGCAGTGACAAAATAGCTTGTGTCTCCCCGGCTGCTTTAAAAGAACCACTGACAGCCTTCCTTGCCTTTCCTTGGCTGAGGATAATTCCCCTTCCCCGGCTAACCTTTTTTAAACAGAACTTGCTTGTAGGAATCTATCCAATTAGACATTTAAATCAATTAGGCTGATTGACAGCAGGATTAGGTCTAGCATATTCTTGATTGTGGATACAAACACTCAGCTGGAATAAATATCTGCCTCATAAGGAATTCCTGAGGCTTAATTAGTTAACATTTGTGAAGTGCTTTGAATACATGAAGTGCCATGCATGCACGGTTATTCTCACTGTTCCTTGTAGAGGAGGCTTCAAATTTGGACCTGGCAAAGACAAGAAGATAGAAAGATTTCGAGGACAGAAGGGGACCTTGTCCCTGACCCAAGGCCACAGGGGACTGCAGCTGCAGGAGCAAGAGGAGAACTCTGTGTTCATGAAGCCTCTCTCATGTCTCAGCAGCAGCTCCTGACCTCCAGACCTCCACACCAGGACTTTTCCCCGTACTAGAGACACACCAGCATCAGGTCAGCAGGCAGGGCATCAGTGAATCCTGGATGCCAGTTATTCTGCACCCTGTCCTCCAGAAATTCTCCCAGGAAGGAATTCAGCTTGTCTGTGCTTTTATAGAAGTGTCATTCACTGAGGCAGCAAGGCAATGACGCCTAATAAATAAACAGGAACTAAAGTTCATGAAGGCCTTTGAGGCTGTCCAAAAGCAACACTCTTATTATTACTACCTAATACACATGTAGGAAAGCTTCACATTAAGAAAAAAAACATCCACACACCTCAGCAATACAAAGGATCTCTTTTCAAAGAGGTATACACCAAGCGTCACCTTGAAAACCTACATATCTGTGGTTATATGGGGCTAAACATAGATCCAGTTTTGCAAGTTTTATTTTCCACCAAAAAAGACCACACCTGAAAGTCAGTAAACTAAGTATAATATACCAATGAAAATATTTTTTTTTCAGCCCGCACAAAACTGTCCTATTCAAATTTCAGGTGTGTACACGTATGTGAAATGAAAAACTTTTGGTTTTTCAAAATATAGTTTGGACTGGCATTAAAAAAAATCCTCAGAATCCAAACAGTTGCAGACTGCCAATAAGGAGGCTTCCAACTAAAGAACAAAGCTGTCACATCCATACCCCCTTCCTCTAACAGTCCATTTAACACTGAAAACAAATTGAACTACAGTCCTGATGATTTACCTTGCCAAGAATGAAGCTACCGAATTTTTTGTCAATTCTCTTCCCAGAATCCCCTGTACACTGATTCATTAAAAAAATCATCTGATTACAGTATTTTCGACAGCACATTTTGAATAACGTATTCTTTCTTTTCTGCCATGTGGAAAAGTAGTAATGCTGGCAGACAGCACCAGGAACTAACACAACAGAAGAGCTGGCACAGAATACAGCATTTATACGATTAAAACACATGCACACACATACGTATCTCCCCTCTCCAGAAGCTTCAAACCTGAAAATCCCCAAGCAATGATTATTTGCAATTAAGGGACAAAAGTCTCCATCATCAGCTCTAATCCATTGGAACACACAGGAATGCCCTCAGAAATACCAGTAGGTCTTTTAATTTCAAAATACACATTTTGGAAGATGTTCCTGTTCAAGAATCTTTGCTAACGGCAAGTACATAGTAGCCAAGTTTGGTGTCACGGAAGTATGACACTAAATGTTTCTGTTTTCCTTAAAACCTGGATTAATAACCAGCAGAAAATATTCTAAGCAAGTGGGGGATTTTCAAAGCAAAAGCATAAATTATATTATTATTTCACCATGTTTGTGGCTTTTAGGATTCCTGCCATTGGAGTTTAAAAAAAAAATTCTAAAAGAAAAATTTCATCTTAAAAGAAATACAGGTTCATTTTCAGCAACCATCACATTCAGTGGTCTGTTTTGGCAATTAGAGAACCAATTCGTTTTCCTGGCCAGTAAGGGACTTATCTGCACATCCTTGTTCCAATTTTCTTTATATATGCTGCTGCCGTTCCCCAGATGAACTCTGCACCCAAACACAGGGTTTGGAATATTTTGATTTTACACCCTTACCAGTCATTTGCCACTAATTTATCACAGAATCACAGAACATGCTGAGTTGGAAGGGACCCACAAAGATCATCAAGTAAAACTCTTTGCCCTGCACAGGACCACTGCCAAGAGTCACACCATGTAAGGTTTCATCTGTTAGGAGGGGTTTATTATTGTCACATTCTAACATCTAGCTCTGACTTCTGTCCCTTGAGCAATAACTGTGTGAGTTATGAAAGCACATAAACTTCCATAAAATTCTTGTCTGGATGAATAACTGCTCAGTTATTTACACAGTGGAGCAGTTTTGGTTTTATTTTGTTTCTATTTTGTTTTTTTCTTCTCCTGTCCTGTTATTAGAAAATTATTATCCAGGTGGGATAGTGCTAGTGGTTTTTCTTCTCCTGTCCTGTTATTAGAAAATTATTATCCAGGTGGGATAGTGCTAGTGGTTGCTATAGTAATTGCTTGGAATTAGATATTCCTAGACACACAGAAGTAACTGGGGAGCCACCACAGGAATATTATACACCAGCAAGGGAAAAGATATTTTTTATTTCACTCTTATTTATAAAGCTCTGTTAGATTTGTCTACAGCATCGATTTACTTAAGAGAACAAAACACTTAGGAAAAAGTTACATTTTCCTTCAGCTTTTCCTTCTCTTGTTTTTTTCCCCTTTTTTCTTTCAGAATCTATTTTGTTTCAAATCATGAGGGAATACTTAACATGGTGTCTCTCTCTCCTTCTTTATTTGAAGAAATAATACCTTACCAGGACACATGCTGGCTTTTAGCCAAGCAGCCAACACGCTCACATTTTTAAGGAACATTATGCTTCCATTGGAAATAGATGATAGATACATTTTTCACCCATCACTCAGCATGTGAACAATATTTTGGCCAGTATGTTTCCAGTCAAACTGAAATGAATAAGATGTATTTGATGCATTTAGTTCCATCCTTACATTAGGCACAAAAGTTCCTTCTGCACCTGTTAAATAATAAGTTTATATGCTGTAGCATTGCAATGTCATTGAGACTGTCAACATTGCAAGCTGGTTAGGATCTGCTTAGGATCACAAAATTGCACTCTTTTTTAAAATCCAGCAATAAAGTTTTCTTGACAACTTACCATAGTGGTTAACAATCATACACTTCCATTTTCTAAGAAAATTTTCTCTATTGCTGAAATCTTTTATGTTAAACATTATCTAAAATGTTTTATGCTGAAGTGCTTCATTAGAAATGCCTTGTTACAACACAGTGGTTGTCACTGAAATCTAGAAAGCTTTACTGACTAACACAGCAATGACAACACAGGAATAACCTTTTGCTTATGATGTAATACATTTTTCCATTGATTAGAAGGAGTAGCCCTTTTTCAGACCTGTACTCCTTATCCAATACAGCACTCTCAAACAGTTCCTGCTGCAGCATCTGCTTGGCCACAGCAATGTACTTCATGGCTCATGATTCTCACCACGTCAAATATTCTTATTGCTTGAATTGCTGAAACACGTTTCTCTAAATTTTTTTTAATGCTTCCAGCTCTTCATTTCAGTTTCTGAATTCAGAAGACAAAATATATTTCTGGTGACAGTTAAAGCTTATTAGCTCTACTTTTTCTGTTTTGAACTGCTACGTTATGAACACCATTTTAATTTAAAAAGATAAAATTCTGTGGGAATACAGCATAGGACTTTTATGATAATCACACAAATTTATTGCACTGCTGGACACTGCCTTCAACTACTTCTGACAAAGGAAACACATCTGAACCCCACTTGTAACAGCAAAGCATTACAATGGATTTAATTAGCTGCCTATACAAATTGTTAAAAAGCAGTGCAATAAATTTGTGCGATTATCATAAAAGTCAGTCATTCCAAAGAGTTTACAGTTACTCTTAGAGTAGTGAAGAAGAGGCTGTGATGTCTTTAAGGACCAACATGCAATAAGTGATTCTCGTTGGCAGCCGCTTTTTCACACATGCTCACATGAGGAGGTAACTTCTTCAAAAACACCATCAATAAACTAGACACAATTATATTTCCACTGCTTCAGGTGATACAGCAGGCCTGCAGGAAAACACCATTTTTAATAACAGAACTGAAATATACACAAGATACTAAGGAACCGTGTCCTTTGAAAAAGCCACATTTGCAAGCAACTCAAAATCAACTAGAATGCCTGTTACCACAAAGAAAGCAAAGCTTTTTCTAAACAAACTTGAATTTTATAGAACAAGAATAAATGGTGGGAGAAATCAGTTCTACGTGCATTAAACCTCAGTGAAATCAGATCTGCTTGTCATGATTGCTTTAACATCACAGCAAATATGATTAATGCAGTACGGGGGGCAAAAACGGTGGGAGAATGAATCTCACCCCCAGTTCTGCAAAGATTTGTGTTGTTTTTAATGAAGTTAGATGCAGCAGTAAAGAAACATGTCTGTAAGTATTCCAAGGACTGCAGCATTAGAATGGGTTCTTCAACTCGTGACGTTACATACAATACTTACTGATATTGCAAACCTTTTAAAACAAGCATTTCCCACAGAGATAGTCAGAATAAAAATAAAAACAAACAAAAAATCAGAACACCAAAACAAAACAAATCACACAAAATAGCAAAACCAACCAAACTAACAAACAAACATAACCCAAAATAAATAAATAAAAACCCCAAACCACAACTTGACCACACAATTGTTTCCCAGTTTCTTGGAAAGAATTGAAACATAACATCCACTACATATTTTGCCTTTATTGGGGGAGCAAGGGAGGGAGGAATAACAACTTTTCTGCTGAAATCGATAATGTAATTTAATTTAGAAAATTACACCTTCAGCCTAGTTACAAAGAAACCATATTGTAGAACAAACAGTGCCAATATGCACTGTCAGCCCAGTTCAAGTGTCCATATTCCTTTCAGAAGCAAGAATGTCAACAGTAAAGTATTACTGGTGGATTTAGAGAAGACAGAAAAATGCATGCGCAGCAAAATAAAAAAACATTTTCCATACATTGTTTAAACTAAAGGAAATCCAGCTGACAGAAGAGATTATAGCAGAAAGATTTCAGAGTGATAATTACATGTCTTTGGGAAGATCGGTTTGTAAGTACAGCAAATTTACTGTATTCTCAAGCAGACTGAATTCCTCCTTCAATCTGGATGCTTGCAGAAAAGTAAGCAGTTGACTCCAGAAAGTTCATAATTCAAAAGGCCCCAGCTCAAGGAAAACATTCCACTATCCCTCTTTTACCCTACAGCCAAAAACTGCAGTAACGGAGATATGGGAAATCCACCTGTAACACCAGTCAGAACAGATTTAATGGCATTTGAGTCCGGCTATTCCACACAACACCTAAACAGTCTTAGATGAAAAAGGTCCCTGATTAAAAGAAGTTAAAGTATCTGTGTCTCAGAGGAAACCGTTTCTGCTGCACTGCCAAGTTTCAATCACAAGTCTCTTGGGCACACATTTTTAAACAATAGGTGACTAAAGATATGAGCAACAACCGAATTCCCACTGTTCATTTTCAGGCGTTTATGCACTATGCAATGTGAAATGCCAGTCTTTTGCACAGCTTTAGATGCCTAAATACTTTCAAAATTTTTTGATCAGTCCCATTTCTAAGGCCAGAATTTCCTGAAGAAAAACACTGACGTGCAGATTTCACCATCTTTCAGTAACAGGAGTCATCCAAGGGGAGAAGAGGTAGATGACAGTAGGCAGATGAAAGGTGATAGAAAACATGAAGGTAGGGTTTAGGATCAATGAAATGTAACAGCATATGGGAAAGTGAAGAAGTTGACCTAGATGGACAAAGAGAGCAGATATACAGGGACCACTTTATCTTCAGACAGTGGAGGGCATGACACTGGAGAGAGTTATTACTTAGTTTGTCAGTCACAGGCAGTCACTAAAAGCCTGGATTTAATGTTCAGAAACTCCTAACACAGTCAAAGAAAGTTTACAATGCACAAAGCTAGTAAAACTGGCTTTTAAGGATAATCAAAATGCTTCACAGGACTCTTTGGCCAGACCTCTGGGAGTAGAACATCCTTACCAAAACCCCAACTGTCCCTTAGTGATCCCTTTTGTTACTACCATAGTTGAAAGCCTTGATTGTGATTTTAAGTGCTGACCCATTAATAAAATAAAAAAAAATTTAAAAATAAAAATAAATAATAAAAAAAAGGCAACTCTATGAGGAATGCATGTCACTAGGAAATGAAATCTTGATGACTCAATTCTATATGTTTGGATCTTTGTGCTTCACAATTCTGAGACATATTACAGTTAGGGTAGGAAAATATGCAAGTATGCTTAAAAGCTGCAACCAACTAGTGAACAGCCAAATCAATGGTTATAGATGATACAGAGCCTCTGGTTTCCAAAGAGAAAAATTTTTGAATAGTCAATACCAGATAGTAAAGAAATAACCCTGGAATAACTTGGACTAAATTACTTATTGTGAGCTAGGAATCAACCAACACCTTTAAGAGGCATGAAAGGATTCCTACTCAGCTATCTTCAAAAGCTTGCAGGAAACAAGTTCTTCCCTTCTATTGCCTTAGACCCAGGAAATCCTCTGGAATTGGAACTTTCCTGTTGAGGTCTGCAATACTAATTCATACTTTGCACTTTTTCAGGGTTTTTTGCTTTTCTTGGTGGTATATTCAGACTTTCTACATTGTTAGCATTCAAAGACCTGGGGACAGTATAATTTATTTTACTTTCAGTGGACTATAAAGCCATATGAGAGTCTAATCCACAAAGATTAGAAGGCGAGGAGGGATATTTCTTCCTCCTAATAAATCAGTAAGAACTTGCTCTCTCTGAGACTTCAATCTCCCCCAGCTTTGAGCCTCCTCAGACTTTCCACAGACAGAGGAACCAATCAAAAAGTGCAAGCATAAGGGGAAGATGACTCCAGAACCCAAGGAGACAGTTACATACATTAGAAAAATCACAGGAAAGGAAGAACAGTGATATTCCTAAATCCTAAACTTGGTTCATGTATTAGAAACTGTCTTACAGAGCATAAAGATGAGGTGTGCATTGAAATGTCACACAGTGGGAAGAGAAAAGCCTGAGAAAAGACAATAGGACATGATGGGACATCAAGGATTTTTGAGATGGGTTTTCACACGGGTTTTGTTGAGTCCTCTCTAATATTATTCACTTTCAACATCAGCAAGCAATGCTCGAGGCTAAGCTCTCCAAAATCATATGAGTTCTCACTGTTACAAGTAACTTAAACCATAATGTTTGGGGACCTACAACAGCACAGAATCAGAGCAAGAACAATGGAAGTAATGAGAGAAAAAAAAGGAATATTGAAGTAGGAGAGAGAAAGAAAGAGGTAAAAACCCTGAGAAGCACTTAGAAGCTTTCCCAGCCTCCAACCTGAAGAATGCCACATGTCTATTAGCAACACTGACAAACCAGTGCCTTAGTGCCACCACGGAAGAATCTGTACCTAAAGATGCAATGCAGTGACTACCCAGCACAGTCCTTGTTTAGTCTGTCTGGAACCCAGAGAAAGAAAAACAAAATCATTGAAAAAATAATTACTTATATAATAATTACAAGCAAATTCTCTGTCTTCTGCACTATGAATAAGACTGTAGACAGGTTCTTAGAGGTGAAAAAGGCAACTTATAACAATCTCCAAAGTTTCAGATTCATTGCTAATTAAATGTTCTTTTTGTCACTTCAAACTTTATTCCTAAACAACTATAATAAAAATAATTATAAAATATAATATTACACAACAGAAGCTATTTTTTCCACAGTTTCCTATCAAAATAGGCTTAAATTAACAGACAAGACATTATTACCAGTACTCAAAGAACATGTAATGCTTTCAGAATATTAGGTTACACCATACCTTAACTCAGGGAAGCATTTAAATCCATTCTTCTTTTCAGGAATAGGAAAAGTCTTCCTGAGTCAGAGACTCCAAAGCAGAGGCATGAAATATCATATAGTTACTACTTGGGCATATAGTAAAGATTTAATTGGTTTGTTTCACAAATTCTTGAACTCCACAGCAAGTCTTATCCCAGTAAGTATTAGAAATAAGTCAATTCAATTTAAAGTGCAATTCTCCTTTGAGAGTCAAGTGGTCTCTACTTTCATATATCATTCTTGCAGCTAAACAGTACAAGATGAAACAGAAACATGACGACAGCACCCTACACTTTTTGGTTATTCAGAAAATTCGCACAAAATATTAACACTCATCAAAAAATAGTATTCTGGTTCATATAGTTATGAACATGTTCCACTAATTCTGAAATGCTTCTGACACTTCTCATAATGAAACACATGGGCAGAACAGCAGCTCTCCAAATGGAAAATACCCTCATTCATTTCTCAAAGCTGTGTATTCAGTACTAACACCACCGATATTATAACATCAATATTATTTGCTAGCACATGGAACTTGTGGACAAAGAATTATTAAACGGACAATTAGAGTGCTTTTTGAATTTTATTAGTTAACCAGAAATTCTGAGATTCAAAAGCTGTTCCAGGTCATGGCCCTTCTCTGGACTGTATTTTCCCCCTCAGGATTTCTTTAAAGTTGAATCTAATAAAAATATAAAAAACTCACATGCAATAGAGCATCTGACACTTCCCCTGGGAGATCTTTCCATAGCCAATATGTTGCTTTTCCTCAAGTTGAATTTTAGTGTAATTTCATCCTCTTGCCCATTCTCATGGAAGCAAGAAGAAAGAGGCCCCAGGGAGAGTAAGTGGGGGGGGCAGGAACCAATAATTGCTAAACTACACTGAAAAAGTGTATAAAAGCAATTCAGCTGTGAAGTGTGTTGATGAAAAGGGAATTGTGAAGGCAAGGGTTAACTTTAGTCACAGTTTCCCAGCTCTTTCTTCTCCATCAGCATGGAAGAGTCACAGATGCACTTGGATGGCTCCTAGGAAAAAAATTATTGTGGAAAAATGCTTGAGTTGTCACTCCGTAATTATGACTTTCGGAAAAGAACCAAAGTGCCCTCTGAAACACTCAACTTCTTACTTCCCAGAGTGGGAAGAAAAGCTCTCTAAAAACTGTTGTTATTATCACAGTCTTGAAAAGGTATCAGCCATGATATCTTCCCACTTCTCAAAAACAAATGAAACTACCCTACTACACAGCATCATCAGCGTTTAACAGAAACATTGTACCATCTGTTACCCTGACCCTGAGAACAACCAGCGAGAGATTTTGCCAAGGGAGATATCATAAAACATCAGATTTAGTCTATAAGGATTTTTCTTCCCTCACAAGTTAATAAATACAGTACCTGGCTGGTTATTTATTATATCCTACAGCTAAAGAATATATTTACTTTTTTATTCTTCCTTCTCTGTGGCTAGAAGGAATTAGTGAAAAGACAGTTTAAAGAACTAGTGCAAGATGTATATGTAGACAGATAGTTTGAAAATATTATAAACAAAAAACTCCTGCAACATATAATACAAAAAGGATGAGAGAAGACTCATCACTACTGTCAGCCACAGAAGCAAACATTTGTTATCTAAAACATATATAAGAGCCCAAATCGGTATTTAAAGAAAAATAACAGACACTCCCCAGGACTTTTCTAGTCCCAACTGCTATCAGCAGAGCACCTGGATGTGAATTTGATCTCTGTCCTTCAGAATCTCAGAACCAAAAGAAGAAAAAAAAGGCATGGCAATAGCCACCAAGAGCTGTACACTAAAATCCCAATTCATTTAGAAAAGAAAACAAAAGTGATTTGTTAATCAATAAAAAGAAGGCTAAACAAGCTTGAATAGACTTCATGTGTTCTCATCAGCAACTTCCTTTCGGCGCTGGGCCCGGAAATGGCGCTCAATATTTATTGTCACTTCCCTCTGCAAATTCCTGCTGTTAGTTTTTCCAGCTGTTCTGATCCAAGGGTGCTGAAGTACTTGACGTGCTGTGTAGCGCTTCAGGGGATCCACTATCAGCAGCCTGGTTATGAGGTCTTTTGCTGCTATTATGAAAAAAAAAAAAAAAAGAAAAGGAGAGAGAGGGGTGAAGTACAGTGATGTGAAAGTCCTGTGCAGTGTGCCCTAGGAGGACCCTGCTTGACCACATGGCCCACTGTGGTCCCTTCCAGCCTTACCCATTCTGTGATGCCAAAAGTTATACTTACACAAAATGTCCTTATTTTTTTTTATTGGTTTTGCAATAATGACTTTTGTGACTATCCTCAGGAAATATTCTAACAACTGGATTTAGAATTACTAACAGGAGATATTAAATCTCCATGACTGCTGTCATTCTCCCCTTCAGAAAGAGAGGAGGAAGTGAAGGAAATTTAATTTTGAAAGCATGCTGAAGGCATCAGGCTACGTCATTCATAGGAATCACCTGTGCATTGAGTATCTCAACCCTTAACAAGTATAAAAGTTGTAGAATGCTGTGGAATATGTTCTTTAAAAGACTGCACAGGGTGCAAGGGGCTTTTAGAGTTTCTGATTCTGAAGAGTGCACAAAATACACTGCACTAGCCTGTGAGAAGGGAAAGGCTACTATGTGCAGACCCCACTGATGTCAATAGAAAATCCACACTACAGGGATACAGGGCAAGAATTTCATTCTCAGCTTTTGAGATATTTGCATACATCTTTACAATCTAATGTAACTCTTGAGATTATTTTGGTACCTTTTTCTACAGAGACATATAAGCAAGGTGAAGAAAATCCTTGCTCTTGCCTAGAAGGGGAGCAATCCATTAAAACATTCATAGCTAATATTCAGAAACACAGCACTGATAGTACCAGAGGACTAAATTCACATCTAAAGCAAACACAGAATCACACAAGAGAGACCTGTGAGACACAGGTCTCAATTTCATTGAGCTCACTGTCCTGAGCAAAAGAGAGATTTCCCCACTCTAGGGAAGAAGACTGTCACTTAGATCTGCTATAAATGCAGAATCTTACCTGCAGAAATATTGTCCCAGTAAGGGGAAAGGAACTCGTAGTGACCCAGCTGTATGATCTGAAACAGCTCGTCTTGATCACGGTCCTGACTGCGAAAAGGAGGAAAACCGCAGAGCAGAATGTAAAGGATCACACCAGCTGCCCACATATCTACTTCGAGCCCGTAGCCTAAGGAAGAAGGGACAAATCATAAATTCTGTTTTAGTAAGAAATCTCACAGTAGAAAACTGCTTCTTGGAAATAAAATGAAGAAGAAACACAGAATCTCTGCTCAGTTCCTCAAAAAGATGAGGTCAACAAAAGAATAAGTGGCTGGTACACCATGCTTACAAGCTGCCTGTTATTAACTGCAGCTCTCACAAAGTGTCTCTCTTCCTCAATATGTTTCACAAACACTGTCTCACAAGGCCAGTGTCAATTTGAGACTAATTGAGAAAACACAGCACATATTTCTAAAATAGCTGTCCTTAGATTCCCTTCAAAAAAGCACCAAGAGTGCCAAGTTTCCATTGAAATTGGATATAACTGGAGATGTGCAACCCAGCTCCACAGAACAAAAACCAGAAATAGCTTTACTTGAGTCATCAACAAAACTGACTTCTTTCCAGGTCTGAATCTTTTTACATATGAAATCTGCAAAATTCCCTCTGATGCAACACATGTTTTGGCTTGTTACATAAATTTAACATATATATGTTCGCAATGATTTTTTATCATTAGGCGTCTTAGAAAGTTTGTTGGGTTACAGTCATGAAATGGGGCTGGCTACCCTTAAGTTGCACCACAAATTTTTGGTCACTTCCCCACTTCAGCAACTACCATCTATCATACTTTACGATTTATGTGCTTGGAAATTAGTGTTATATTCACATAAGCATTAATAACACAAACACGACAGACTTCATGCTTGTGTTTGTTAAAACCTAAAAAAGTTTTCCTTTCCCAGATTACACTGCTAGCCAACTTCCTGCCTTGAAAAGATTTATCAGTAGGTTGAAACATTCTGGAATATTTCCATGATTAGAAAGTTCAGAGTAATTGTATGATTTATGACAAATTATAAACATACACACTCACCCTTCTCAGCAAGTATTTCAGGGGCAACATACGTTGGTGTTCCACACACAGTAAATATGGGTTTTGTAACCTGCTTTGCAAGGCCAAAATCTGCTAGTTTCAGTGTAGTAGATTTATCTGCATTGTGCTGAACCTATACCCAACAAAATGTACATATATTTAGTCCAGATGCATTTTAAGACAGCAAAATATAAAGGAAGTAGTTAATAAAACAGGAAGAAGTTCTAAGAAGTACTAACAGCACAGTCTTCAGAATGTGGGATTTTTCCCTATATATTAAGAGGTCACATAAGTTTTAGAGGATAAGCAATTATGGAAAAAAGAAGACTTCACTCTACAAACTCTGGCACACTGCAATTTCCAAGAAATAAAAAGAACACAAAAATAAAGAAGACTTAGTTTAATGTTATTATTTCTTCTTGGGAAAATAAATTGGGAAAAGAAGAATGCTGTGGGCATCTTTATACTTAAGTGCAATGTGCACTTGCAGCCCAGGTAAGCTACTGACTTTATAGTGTCACTTGATGCTGTGTTTTAGCCCCAGACAACAACTAAGTACCATACAGCTGCTTGGTCACTCATCCCCCTTCTCCCCACAGTGGGATGGGGAGGAGAATCTGCAAAAAAAAAATGGGGGTTGAGATGAGAGCAGTTTAATAGCTGAAATAAAGTATAATAATAATAAGAATAGTGACAACTGTAATAAGAAGGAAAGAGAGAGAGGGAGAGGAATAAAGCCCAAGAGAAACAAATGATGCACAACACAATTGCCCACCACCCACTGACCTCCAGCGCAGCCTGCCCTCCAGCAGCAACTAGCAGCTCCTGGACAACTCTCCCCAGTTTATTTACTGAGCATAATGTTCCATGGTACGGAATAGGTCAGTTCTGGCTATGCTCTCTCTCAGCTCTTGGTGCACCTGCTCCCTGGCAGAGCATGAGACACACTGAGAAGTCCTTGACTTAGGGTAAGCACTGCTCAGCAATGATCAAAACATCACTGTGTTATCAATGTTATTCTCATACTAAATCCAAAGCACAGCACTGGAAAAAAAAAAATATCTCTATCCCAGCTAAAACCCAAAAAACATGAAAAGCATACCTCCATCATACTGGTCTAACAACAAAAAACAAACCAACAAAAGCTTTACTTTAATTCCAAATTACTCTGCTACTCTACCTGCTGTCCTGAAAATAAATTAGCAATGGTCACCACATAGTAAGAGTTGAAGAAAATAATCCATGCAGAATGACCTCCAAAGTGGATCTCTTCAGCAGTTCTCATCTCCTACATCCACCTGGCAAGTAGTCAAAATGTTTTTTCCAATTCTAATTTTGTATGCATGTGTCTTTAGCATTAATTTGTAATGCAGCTAACGAAATGTTATTTTAAGAAATCAAATATGGTAATGACAGACAACGGGATCAAGCACAACCTCCGCAAGCTGGCAGACACCACCAAGCTGAGTGATGAGTTTGACACATCTGAAGGACGGCCTGCCATCCAGAGGCATCCTGGACAAGCTTAAGAAGCAGGCCCATGGGAACCTCATGAGGTTCAACAAGGAGAAATGCAGGGTCCTTACACGTGAGCTGGGGCAATCGCCAGTGTCAGCATGGGCTGGGTTGTGAATGGATTTAGAGCAGCCCTGTGGAGAAGGACTTGGGGGTGTTGGTGGATGAAAAACTGGACATGAACCAGCAATGTGCACTTGCAGCCCAGAAAGCCGGTCATCTCCTGAGCTGCATCAAAAGCAGTGTGGCCAGTAGGTCAAAGGAGGTGATTCTGCCCCTCTACTCCTCCTCTGCTGAAACTTCACCTGGAGTGGTGCACCCAGCTCTGGGGTCCCCAGCACAGGAAAGATACAGACCTATTGGAGCAAGTCCAGAGGAAGGGCACTCAACAGGGCTGGAGCACCTTTCCTATGAGGAAAGGCTGAGGTACAGTTCGGCCTGAAGAAGAGAAGGTTCCAGACAGACCTTATAGCGGCCTTTTGACACTTAAAGGGGCTTGTAAGTAAGATGGGGACAGGTTTTTTAGTAGGGTCTGCAGAAATAGGACCAGGGGCAACAGCTTTAAACTGAAAGAGGGAAGATTAAGACTAGATATTAGGAAGAAATGTTTTGTGATGAGGGTGGTGCAACACTGTCACAGGATGCCCAGAAAGGTGGTAGATGCTCCATCCCTAGGAACATTTAAGATCAGGTTGGACAGGGCTCTGAGCAACCTGATCTAGTTGAAGATGTCGCTGCTCATTGCAGGGGGGTTTGACTAGATGACCTTTAAAGGTCCCTTCCAGCCCACACTATTCTATTATTCTATATTCAAAGCCCAAGTCGCAAACAATGCAGCAGGATAATTAAATACACTGGTATGATTAATACTAGTGACTGATATTCAGACATTCTTTGAGGGGTAAAAAATATCATGAATTTCCTTTAAATGAAAAACTGCTTGTGTCTAGAACAATGGGGAACCGATCAGCAGCTAAAATGTCTACAGAAAAGCAAACGAAATCTGGACTTCAGTTTTGAATGGATAAACTGGAATATAATGAGACAGGTATACTCCGTGCTTTAACACCTCATACTTTGCCATCAGACACTTCTTAAGAAAGCCAAAAATTCAAGATGGTCTCTGTTATAAGATAACTACGGGAACAGATGGGACAAAATCTGCTCTTGTACATTAGAGCTGAGAGATGCGTTTATCATCTTTATAGAAACTATAAGCAGTCATCCGATTTTGATGAAGCAAAGTGGTTTGCGGCTTTTTTTTTTTTAAGAATAAAAGTATTACATTACAAAATAATAAAATATAGCCTACTAATCCCTTTTTATCTTCTTTATAAAAAATGCACAATACAAAACTGGGCAAGTGACTGATGCCCCAGAACCCTATGCAGCCATGCAGGAGGATGTCAACAGACTTGAGAGACAGGCAGGGTGGAACATTTTGAATTTCAACAAAGGCAAATGCGGAGTCCTACATCTGGGGAATAATAACCCCTTGCACCAGTAAAGGCTGGAGGCTGACCTGCTGGAAGCAGCTCTGTGGAGAAGGACCTGGGTATCCTGGTAGACAACAAGCTGTCCATGAGCCAGCAGTGTGCCTATGTGGCCAAGAAGGCCAAGGGTGTCCTGGGGTGCATTAGGAGGAACAGTGCCAGCAGGTTGAGGGAGGTAATCCTGCCCCTCTACTCAGCCCTGTTGAGGCCACATCTAGAGTAGTGTGTTCTGAGGAGCCCAGTTCTGGGCTTCTCAGTACAAGAGAGATGTGGAGCTCCTGCTACGGGTCCAGCGAAGGGCAACAAAGATGACTGGGGGACTGGAGCATCTCTTACAAGGAGAGGTTGAGGGAGTTGGGCCTGTTCAGCCTCAAGAAGAGATGTCTGAGAGGGGACCTTACCAATTTATATCAGCATCTAAAGGGAGGGTGTCCAGAGGATGGAGCCAGGCTCTGCTCAGTGGTGCCAAGCTACAGGAGAAGAGGCAACAGGCAGAAGCTGAAACACAAGAAGTTCCATCTGAAGATGTGGAAGAACTTTTTTACTGTGAGGAGTACTGGAACTGGTTGTCCAGAGAGGTTGCAGAGTCTCCTTGTCTAGAGATATTATAAAAAGTCTGCACACAATCCTGAGTAACGTGCTCTTGGTAAACCTCCTAGGCAGGGGGGTTGTTCACATACAGTGGTCCCTTCCAACCTTAACCATTCTGTGATTCCAAGATATAAGCACTCTTCTAGTTTTGATTAAGCAAAGCACTCTGGACTTTTTTCTTGCTATTTCAAGAAAAAATATTTTTTCTGTATGAAACTGAAAATAAAGTTTACTACAACAATGCAGCCAAAACTTCTGCAGGAAAAAGGTAAAATGCCATCGCCATTTTCTCTATTATATTAGGCAACTACATGATGATTTTTTGCTATGATACACTGTGGACACAGATAAAAATGAAAAAAAAATTATAAAGGTAACACTTGCTTTCTAGAACAGCATCTATCCACAGAATTTATATTTTAACAATAAGGTTAATAGCGGTAGGATTCTACAAAAATTCACAATTTAAATGTTCAAGTTTATATGTACTACAAAAATATGAGCATAAATATATTTTCCTATTGTATACATATTTTTTTTTAATTATAAATGAAAATTATGCCACATGGAATTTCAACTACCCTGCATGCTACTGTACTAAGACAAATAATCATGAAATGTTTATATATATTCTTAGAAACCAGCAAGTGAGTGGAAAGGGTGGAGAACACACTGGTCTAAATCCCAATTCCAAAATGAACAGGAAAATTCTTCCTTCGTAAAATACACTTTTTCTTTCCTCAGGAAGCCTGACTCCTAATCTCCCATCACAGCACAAGGTGGCAACACCGCACCATCTGTCCTTCCAGGACAAAACCACTGAGATTTCATTTTACTTAACCAAACAGGTAGGAACAGCATGCACCAGGGGTATACTTTCACAGCTTTGTGACAATCACTTCAAAGACAGCACGTAACCTGTCAGTATGCCTGAAAACCCCAGCCCAGAGCTCCTCAGCAGCTTCAGTAACACTATGCTCAGAACAACTCAGCTCAGAGAATTCCCTTCATCCCCAACTTCGTACTCTCCAGTCTACCATTCTATCCCCTGGCGTCACCTTGAGCATGCAAATATGTTGCACTGCAGAAACAAAAGCTTCTCAGGTTCCTTTTATTAATTCCTTAGGCCAGACTACTTACTCATAGTAGTACCAAAGAAATGCATAACCTGCTCAAGAGAAATCTAGCCTCTGACATCCACGGTATGTATTCCATGAACTGGTGAGTACAAAGCAAAAATAGTAACATTAAATCACACTAGCCTTTCCAGAAACACCTAAAAGATAGTTATTACTATTTCTGCATTCAAGACTACAAAGAGCTATTATAAAAGTCCATTTAAAAGTCCTGCTTGCCTGTAGGCTTAATTGAAGTAAGAAAGACCAGTAAACTCTCTGTAGACAGCCAATTTAGGTCAAACAACTATGCAACAATACAACTACTTAGGTCTTTCAGCTGCAAGGTAAGGCAACGTCTGGTGGTCTTGGACTAAAGGCAGTCAGAATTGCTCACTAGTTTCTCAAATACAAAAGACATAGCAGGATATTAGAAAGGATTTCTAGCTGTCCCACCCATACAACCAGAAGATTATAATAAAGAGCCAAGTTCATCTTCAAAGAAGGGAAAAAATTATCTCTTCCTTTTCTCCTGTCTGTTGATGATTCCCACTACTTTATGCTCTTATTTGGTTTCACATCTACCTTGTGAAATCCATCAGGGTGTTTAAGATGATAATTTACAGCATTAATATTTCTCTGTATGCACATATATATGGTAGCACAGATTCCTCTTCTGGACATCATGAAAGCAAGCTAGCCCATGGGATGTTTGGTATACCAGAAATAGACAGAGCTTAAGAAAAATGACTGCTTACGCATTTGAGTTTCAGACACCTCTTGTTGCTAGCTAGAAGAATCTCCATCCTGTACATTTATCATACTGAAAGTTCTTGACAGGTAAGTGGTTAAACAGGACTTTAACTCACGTGCACTCAAACAACTGACAGTGTGTTGTGTGTATGTTAATAGTGTCACAAAGTTAAAGGACAGGAAGACTGTACTTGAAGTCGTCACACTTTACGAAAACTTGAGAGAGAGGAAACGGGTGGAAGAGAAGCGCAAATGCATAAAAATCTATAACACTTATTTATGAAATTGAGTGTTAAACAATTACCACATTAGGATGTTAGGGAAGTGTACAAGGAGGTAAGTACACAATCAATAATACAGCCCTCTCCCTTCCCCCCAAAAGAAGGTGTTTTTGTAGCTTTTAAAGCTATAACCTGGAAAAACCCCACCACACTTTGGCATTAATTTCTCACTCACAAATCAAGAAATGCCAGCAGCTGCAGAATTAAACAGTGCCTTATCTAAAAATCTGGCCAGCAAATCCTGCTCCACCAGGTAGCATTCAAGAAGTGACTTCATTTGTGGGACTAAACACACAACACTGCCCATCCTTGGTAGCAAAGGTTTTCTTGCTGAACACCTAGTCCTAAATTAGGTGATTCTGTTAGCAGATGGGAGGCAGTCGTAGCAGCTGTCTTCACACCAGCTGTCAAACAGATTTTGTTTTTGTAGCGCAAGTCACCACCCTTCTGCCTCACAGCTATGCTGCAAAGAGTCTGATCATTGTAGGCAGACGCGGTAGCGAAAGAGGGAGGGGAAAAAGCAGAGAGGATGATGGTGGCCTGGAACAGAAGTTTCTAACTGGAGGACAGTTCCATAAGAGAAAGAAGTGCAGTAAATTAACAATTAAACCAGGTTTCCAACTCTCTCCTGTGTCAATAATTTTAAAATTTACCAGACATCAAAGTGCATTTCTATCTTTTCTTCTTTAGGGACAGAAAAGGTTTTCCTTCTTTCCCCAGCTGCTTATTTTTGGAAAATTTATGGAAATATTTTTTCCCTAGATTGCTGCGTCTCTGGCAACTCTTATGAAAATTAGCCAGTATGTTCAAAAGTCATTAAGTCAACAGCCTAAAAGTACGTATCTAGATATTTTTGACCTCTATGTACAAAGCCTTGATAGACTTATTCAGAATTAAATATCTTCAGTGTAGCAATCTGAAGTGAAACAACAGGTATCCCACAACCTCTCTGCAGGCTGCTGGAAACTTGAAGCACTGCACTTCGTCTCCAGAAGGGTGCTCCCAGCCCCTGACCCACCAACAGCAGATAAAGCCATGAAATTTGCTTCAATACTGTTTGTTACTGTTCAGCACTGGCTGATGTTAAGATTTGTGGCAGCTGTCCTTCCTACTTTGCTGCTGCTACTGCTCCAACCACTCTGAGGAGACATAGGCAGCACACTGAAAAGTCAGAAAAGCCTGAATCTTGCTTAAATGACTCGTATTTATAGGGATGCTTATTAGATAGCACAGGACCTATCCAACACTATCAAGAGTTTAAATTCATCCGGCAGGTTGAATAGATTCACTTTTTAAAAAGATGCTTTATGTACATGGTATCTAATACTGGTGCTCACACTCAGCATCAAGGTGAAACTGGAACAATTTTCTTTCCCATGGTGTTTTGGTAATACTGTCCTTGTATGACAAAATACCTAGAGTCTGGGAGCTGATCTGTCCTTGAAAAATATATTCTGACTGTCAGAATGGGTATATATAATATATATAATAATAGCATGATTATTTCAGTGCTACACGACAGCATGCTGTTTTGCAGTTCTGTGAGCTAAATGTGAAAAGCCAGAACTGACCTGTACCCTGCCTCTCTTTGCTTGCCTACATCACAGTATGTATTATAGAGAGAAGTGACACATCTGGTCTCAGGTGCTTCACGTGCACTAGTTTGTGCTCAGCAAATAGGAAGGAGCAGAAAGTGGTTCATAATGGAAAATCAGCTCATGGAAAAAGCACTGCAGTTCTAAATGCAGTTTTGCTCTAATGGCAAACAAAACTCAAAGGCAGGGCCTACACTTCTTCCTGCAAACCACCCACTTGCACTCACCACCTTTTATTTACATACAGACCACATAACAAGAATTTTTACCAGACTGAGCAGGATACATAGAAGGACCTAATACAGATGCTATTGCTTAATTCAAAGATTTGAGACCAAACCATTCCAGCCCAGCCTTGTTCAACCTCTGCGTGTCCTAGAAGCTACATTGCTGCTTTTCTCCAGAAATTAATTCTCTTGAAAGCATGGAATGGCACACAGGACTAAAAAATCTATTACCTTTTCTATCTGCCTAACTATGATCTTCCACAAAAGCAGATCAAATCCGACTTGTTAGAGACTGGCAAATATTTGCTATTTATCTGTTCATCATGAAATTAGGAATACAAGAGTGTAACACACACTTAGAAAGGGAGAGTTGTTTACTGTAATGTTCTACAATGGGTATCTTGTGGAGCATCAATACTACAAACATTTCTATGCATATTCACAAGTGAGTAACTCTTTTGACTTCAGTGCTGGATGGAAAGAATGTAGCCTCAGAAATGTGATGGAAACAAGAACTTTTCTCTTTGGCATAAAATTACTATTTGAGCTGACTTTAATGCTGCATTCACCAAAACATTCACAATTTACTGTCAGATTATTTCAATCAACTACATCATACTTCTGCTTCTAAGAAAATAAGTTGTCACAAGAAAGAAATCACTACAGTAGAGGATTAGCAAAGCAGTCTGAAAAATATGCAACTGCAGCAGACAAAAAGTCCAACAAATAAACAAGTTAAATCAACAATTTTAATAAATTTTGGTCTGCAAGGAAAATGCCTTATGATTCATCCTTGCACACTTGAAAGTCAGATGCTAAGTAACAGGTCTGATTTCAGAAGAATGTAAATGCTCGCTACCCCTGAAAGCCTGATAATTTTTACTTGAATTTCTATCTGCAAGGCACACCAGATCTACATAAAGAAAAACTACAATTGTAATTTCACTTCAAAATTGTACCCATTTTTCCAAACAGTCCTGCCACAGCACATTATCTCTGCATACTATTTACTTAAAAATATTCAAAGAAGGAAAATAAATTCAATTCCTTCATATATGCAATTGTTTGACAATACTTACCAAAAGATTCTCTGGCTTGAGGTCCCTGTGGACAATGTTCTTGCTGTGAATATAAACCAATGCTTCACACAGGTCAGTGATCATGACAGCAGCATCATGCTCCGTGAACTTTACACTTTCTATGATTGCATCAAATAAGTCCCCTCCTGGGACATACTCTAGGATTAGGTAGATCTCAGCTTCTGTCTCATACACCTCAATTAAGCTTACTATATTGGGATGAGAGAGACTCCTAATGATCAGAATTTCACTTTCCATCATGTCCTCTTTCCCCTTTAGTTTGGATTTATCGACAATTTTCATGGCATAGATCTGATTGGAATCACAGTGGCGACATTCCTTCACCACTGCAAAGTTCCCATCCCCAATAGTTCTGCCGATATCATAGTGTTTTTCCACGTCAGTCCTGCTTTTAATGGCATACCTCCGGCTTGTGCTTTCCAGTCCCTGAGCCTTGTTTTCCTCTTTATTCACTCGGCGCTCCCCTGTTTTTTCCCGTCTAGTCATGTCACTCTCTCTATGTGTGACGTTCCCCTCTCTTCTGGCAGCCTCCTCTTTAGCCCTTTGTCCCTCTCTGACCTCCCTGTGTGTTTTAGACAGTTTCTCAGCATCCCTCAGAGTGTCCTTCTTTAGCCAACCACTTTGGTTCATTACACAGCTACTTCCATTATCTTCTTTCACTTCATGAGATAGATGGAGCCCTTCTACAGCATTTTTCCTGATTTTTACTACTTCCTTCCCATGGTTTTCATGCTTCTCCACGTCCTTCTCCTTCTCCGTGTTCCTTTTTTGCTTCTCCAGCCCTTCATTAACAATCTTTTGTAGGGGCTTCCACATCCTCCTACTGCCATTATCTTTCCAGCCAACTTCCTCACCCTCCAGACAAGTTTCAGAAGATTTTCGGCAGCTCCTGATTTTTGTATTTCTTTCTACCTGGTACCTCTGACACGCGCCTGTGTTCAGGTCTCTATTTTCAAATGAGGCCTCAGCCTGCCTTTCCCTTTGTAACTTTTCTCTGGCCTGCCTTTCCTGTTCACACTTCTCACACCTCAGCACCTCCTCCAAACTCTTCTCTAAACCCTCCTCAGAACTCCTCTCATGGTTAAGGTACCTCTCGCTTTCTCGGGTTTTCCTAGAAGGCTTCACTCCCTGTTCACCACTCCAGCTCTCTCTAGTCCACTTTTTCTTGGATCTCATTTTTTCTTCTTCCTTTGCCTTGGCTTGACTTTTTCCTTCATGTCCAGCTACCAGTTGGGGAGACACGCCATCACTGCAGTTCTTGGTAATTTCTGCCTCATCAAAGCTGCTGTCTACTTTCAAAGCCTTGTCATACAGCCTGCTCTTGAGTTTTCGGGACTGCTCCTCATTCTGCTGAATGGCAGCACTGGCAGCATAAGGATTTTCAGGATAAAGTTCTTGTAATACCACTTCCAGGTCCTTCAAAGTGAGGGGCTCCCTCCCCATAGCTATGAATGCATCACCTTCCCTGAAAAACTCAGAAACGCTTCGGATTTCTCTGCCTCTCAGATTGTAAAGTTTTCTCACACGGTCATTCTTCCAGCGAGGAAATCCCAGAGCTTCTGAAATGTCAGCCATCAGCTGTTCAAAGGTCTGGACTGACTTCCTGTTGAGAAGCAAGGTTATCCTCCTGAGTGTGCGTCCCCCAGGTTTCACCACTGTAATTATCCTTGGCTTCACGGGGCTGTGCTCTGAATGTATCGTGTGAAAGCCCTTGCGGGGACTGAAAAATGAGGACCTATGGCTGCTTTCACTCAAACACGGCTTCCCATAGCTCCCACGACCAATAGGAGGGCAAGTCCCATGTAGTTTCCTCTCTTTTACTTTTGAGCTGGCATTGTGTGGCGAATGCTCCAACAAGCCTCGGCGTCCTAAGGCAAACAAAGAGCAGGCAAATTAATTATTTTGCACCATCAGACCTTTCTGAGCAATCATTTTCTACATGTCAGTGTATGTGACTTCAGAGAGTAAGGTTCAGTGACTTCAAGGCTTATGAAGAACTTTAACTGCCACTAAGGAGCATCTCCACATACATGCAACTACAGACACTGTCAGGTTTGTGAGAAAATGTAAATTCATTTTGCGACAGAGAAATGTCATTAAAAAAATAGCAGTAATATTGAAAACAAACAGATCTTTCTTCTAAATCCTTGCATCTTTCAGAAGTCCTCTAAAAATATCAGGATTGCATCAAGTTTGTTTACCATTCTCTTCTGAATACGTCTACTATGAACTCACTCCTTTCTGAACCAAATTACAATTTTGGCCTCTGTAAACCCTGTAGCAACAAGTTCCAAAAATTACATTGCATGAAGTAAAATAAATTAAATACTCATGTTTTAAAATTACTACCAGATGGTGCTGTATGTGTAGCCTTATGTTCCTATAAATAATTATCTCCTCTTCACTTTCCCTGGACCTTCTATAACAAATAAACTGAATTCTTTTTAAAAGATATTACTTTTGCTTTAACTTTTACAACAATTTTATAGATCACCTAATAGTAGTGTAATGTAATCTTTCATCTTAAAAAAATGCCATCTTAGTTTTGTTTAATAACTTGAGTTCTGGTTTTCCAATATTTTGGTTGGACTTTTTATTCTAAAACTTATGTAAAATCACACAAATTTCTGAGTATTCTCTAGGGAGACTAACAATTTTCTATCTGATATTTCATTTTAGAACATCAACCAAAGAAAGTGGCATCATTTGTTATGCCTAATTGTGAAAAAGAAGAACTGAAAACATATGGTTATGGACAAACCAAGCTACAACATAATTCCCTATTTATCAATACAACAATGAGCTAGGAATAAAAATGTCCCCTAAAAGTACTCTGACCTCTTGTGCTTGTTAGGATTAAAACCTGATTACAATGCATTTTTTATCATCAAGAAATAAACTTTCAGAATGAGATTACAGAGAGCTTCCAACTCCATTTAATAGCCTGGCACTTCAGTTGGGAATAAACATTCAATATATCTGAACTAAAAGGACCAAGACAAAAGAAAGAAGCCAGAATGTTTCCTGAACCATCACAAGGAAAGTCCTATACACAAATGGCTTGTCTCCCAGAGAATCCTGTCCATTCTCATGCATTACTATGCTTGCACAGCCATAGTGCAGTGGGTAAGTCCTCAAAGGAAAATCTGCACATATGAGTGTTCCTCTGGGTGCTATGGCCTTAAGCTTACTGCATTTTGGTTTTGACCTGCAGAAAAGCCATTTTCAGTACTTCAAGCTATGCATTTTTATTTGTGCTTTTCATCAAGGCAAGAGGAAATACGCCTCCTTGCCTAGAATGACGAACAAAAGGGAAAACTGCAACGAGAGCTGCAGCATTCACCTGCTCTGCCTCAAAAAATAGCGTGTCTTAAAGGCCAGGACTTGAGTGGGGAAAGCACATGAGGAGACACGGCTACAGAACTCCAATGCTGTTGGCTCTGCTTGATGTATGATGAAGGACACTTAGTTGTAATACTCTCACCAGCTAAGCACTGTGTGCCCCTTGGCATGTCCCTTAACTCTTGGCTTCATTTTCTTCCTCTGCCAAATGAGATAGATGCTTCTTCTCCAAACAAATATTACGAAGGAGCCCAGCTGCCAGCATGCTGATTGAAGACGTAAGCATTATATAAGAGCTATGTGTGACTAATGCTTGGTGGTTGTATAAGTTATTTCTGTCTTCATTCTGCTTTTTAAGGATAATCTCTTGTTATCAAAAGATGACTACATATGTGCTAGTGATTCTTCAGCAATCACATATTTACATTTCACCCAGAACAAAGCACACTGTGAATGGGGAAGAAAAAAAAATCAGCCATAATAATAGTTCTCTGAAATCTAAATCAACTCCAGAACACGTTACTTACCAGGAACTGATGAAGCCCTGAATTTAATCAACATTTCCAGATTCTTTGACTGCCATCAAAGCATTATCTTGCTTATGGGAACAGCACTTGACATTTTTACTGCTTATGATCTTGGTACAACATAAAAACAATGGTGCGCCAATAACGACTTTTCCCACAGCTTATGTTCCTCCCAGTTATGCTGCTATTATCGTACCTTTCTATAAACCACTGATTTTAAGTGCTTGGCTGCACTGTTGATTGTTTCAATTACCCAAGCATCAGTTTTTCCTTTCTTCACTAATTTGGCTAAGCTTGAAACAGAAGCCAAGTTTCTCTCTTAATTCTATAACTAATGGAATAAGAGCAGCTTTATATCATTATTTAGAACAATGCAGAAATGTGTTTATGTGCCTTTTAAACTGGCTTGATTGCTAGCCAAAAACAGTCTGACAAAAGCCATAAGTTAATATATAACAATTTTAGGAAAAAGAATAGTATTGCATGTTTTTTTAAGATGAAAAAAGAAAATTACACGAATGCTTAAATCAATGCATAAAAGAATCTTTTAATATTTTCCAAGAAAAGGGGAAGTGTCAAATTCTGTCAAAGGGGTGGTCACAATGACTACACATTACATAAAATTGAAAATTCACTTCAATTGCCTGGTACAACTAATTCAGTCATAATTTCGGTTGTTTCTCAGTTATGCTATATTTAACTGATACACACAAAGCAAGCCTCAATCTGTCAGGAAAGTGCACACACTTAAAGCAGTAACAAGCATTTCCAGAAAGCCTTCAGAGGTCACACACATACCCAAATCCTTTAGCTACAATTTATTTTGCTTCAAAATCTTCTTTCCATATTTATATACAAGTGGGAGAAGGAGGAAGAGGGAGGTGATATCAGAAACACACTTCAATGAGTTCAAGTACCAGCAAATTATACACCAAAAAATAAAATGTGCTTTTTCTTTTACTGTCTTACTGAGAGCTAATGATTATCAAATATAAATATTTCTTAGAAATGTTAAAATGGGTTCATCCATGCATGACTGTGTCTACTTTTATCTGTATACACATCTATCTATAAATGCTGGTGTATTAGGGTATCAGTGGTGCACCATGGCCGAGGAGGATGCTGAAGCCTGCTCATGTGGGAGGGCAGGGGCAAGGCAACACAGCTGGTCAAGGGCACCTTGCATCCCACCAAAACTGTGCACATTTGAACAGAAAAAAAACAAAAATGAACTCACAGAGCGATACAGAGTTCCATATGAAGAAGACATGATGGTCTAATAAGGCAAACAATCACACCAAGTCCCTGCAGAAGCATGGAGTTTAGGACAAACTGGGATTTGGGGGCTCAAACAGGTAGCAGCAACAAGAAACTTAGCACCTATGACCAGAGCACAAGTCCTCCCTGGAGAGACACTGCGTTCCCCTGAAAGCAGCACAGCATTTTTAAAATTTATATATCATTTGTGACCATCACAGTCCATCCAACTGCAGGGGTAGGGGGGAGTGTGGGAAAGCATGGGGGAAAACCACAAAAATTCCTCTAGAAGACCTTTCCTTGCAGTGTTTTGGATAATACCCTGGACTTAGAGTAAAATAAAGGGAATTCTGAAGACTTAAGCTCTGAAGAAGTTGTGTATACAGAACTTAAACCAACCTATATCTTAAGGAATTTAATTAGCTCAGTTGTTTAGAGCACAGTGCTAAAAATGCCAAGGGTACAGGTTTGATCCCTGTACAAGCTATTCACTTAAGAGCTGGACTTGATGATCCTTGTGGGTCCCTTCCAACTCAGAATATCCTGTCATTCTGTGAATTGCCTGGCTACACTCCCTACAACAGCAGAGTAACAGAGTTTGCCAGAGGTCACATATTGCAATTAAAAATGTATTGCTGCCATTTGTCTTTCAAAACTTATCCCTTCCCTTGACCACTCGGTAAGTTTTTGTTCATCTTGAGTTCTTCTTGGCTCTCCAGCCTGAGATTACAGTTTCAGTAATTAACTGAATGGTTTACCCAGCAGCTAATTCTGCTATCAACTTACAGGTTGAAGTGGAATTAAATTTTTAAAAGGAGTTTTACAACACAATTTAAAAGAGAAGGCAGCATTGAAATAGGATCTAGGTATGGCATTGCTTTCTGTGAATAAGATGGTGTTATTTAAACCCTGCAACTTCTTTAGAAGGCTTCCACTTAGCAACCATGAAAACACCCCAAATCATTAACAGCAGTCTTCATGTAACTCGAATTGCACATAACCGTGTATCTGGGCATTGTTTTGATGTGTTGGTCTCAATATAGGATAAACAAAACCCTGTTTCAAACGGGACAGGAAAGAATAACACTACAAATGCCTGTTTATTCCTTAAGACCCAGCAATTCCTGCTGAGGTAATAAAAAATATAAATTTTAAAAAAAATAATAATAATCTTACTTGGAACCAAAAACATTTAATTCATGTCACCATATTAACAAGTGTCTTCAAGTACCTGAGTGTCAAGAACGTTTCTGGCGTTGAACCGAGAGCAGCCAAGCATGTAGCTCACACAGGTTACCAGTGTGCATCAGCAGTTGGCCCCAGGATGCAATCCGAGTCCTCTAGAAACATGCCATCTTGATCTCCTCTCCTCGCTGTAAATTATTAAAAGTTGCAACTTCCAGCGCTAGTGTACACTACAAATGCGCAAGACTAAAGCAGTAGTGTGGCAAGTCTCAGTTCACTAAATTAGATACATGGAAACAAAACATGATCACAAGTGTTCTTTTACAGCAAGTAAATTTTACATGGGCACTATCTACAGCCCTACTGCTGGAAACACCACTGGCAAATTTTTCTCGGAGGAGCCTCTGTAGCACCCTCTCCTTCCCTGCTGCTCATCCTTGCCTCCTTGCCATGCTGTACAGCATCTTAGGCAAGATGTTTTGTTTGAGTAAGATCTGGTGGCTATTTCAGCAACAATGACAGACAGACACACTTTTATCAGTTTTGACCAGATAAAA